GCCTGGGCCTGGCCGCGGCCCTGTGAGGAGCCGCGCCGGGACTGCGCGGGAGGAGGCGCCGGGTCCCGCAGGCCGCGCAGGGGTGGGCGCGGGGCTCAAGGCAGCCGCCGCCACCGGGAGAAAGCGTTAGTTCCTCTCTGATCCACTCCCACCGGGTTTTACCCCAAAAGGCCAGGCTAGGAGTTCGGTAAGTGCCACTGCAGTTACGCAGGTAAATGTTTGAAGTCTGCCTACCAGCTCTGCATATCTTCCAGGCAGAGATCTTCAGCGAGATGAAAGGATACTCAGGCATAAGGGACTATTGTGTCGGGGAACCGGATCTTTCACAGATAAGTCAGGGAGCAGCAGTCCAACAACTGTTCTCTTCAGCGAGGAGATTAAGAGGGAATGAAAATACATTGCAAAACCAGTTCTTGAGGGCGTGCTAGTTGCTGTTGGATGGGCTGGAGATGGTGCCAATGCACCCAGCTGCATTAACCCAATGGGAAAGTGCCTCGTGTCCCCTCCTGACCATGTCTTGCCTTTGGGACAGCCATGGGACAGAGGCAGGGCCCAGCTGTGCGCTGCTGGGGGAGGGCTTCTCCCCAGCACCACGCGCCACTATGGTCCTGCGGTGCCCCAGCCTGTGAAGCTGCACTCAGTGGGCAGGTCGTACTTTCCTCCTTGTTGTGGTTTAACCCCAGTTGGCAACTGAGCACCACACAGCCACTCACTCACCCTCCCCCCACAGTGGGATGCGGGAGAGAACTGGGAAAAAAAAAAAGTAAAACATGTAGGTTGAGATAAAGACAGTTTAATAGGACAGAAAAGGAAGGGAAATAATAGTGATAAAAGAATACACAAAGCAAGTGGTGCACAATGCAGTTGCTCACCACCCGCTGACCAATGCCCAGCCTGTCCCCGAGCAGTGATCACTGCCCCCTGGCCAACCCCCCCCAGTTTATATACTGAGCGTGATGTCATACGGTATGGCATAGCCCTTTGGCCAGTCTGGGTCAGCTGTCCTGGCTGTGCCCCCTCCCAGCTTCTTGTGCACCGGGCAGAGCATGGGAAGCTGAAAAGTCCTTGACCAGTGTAAGCGCTACTTGGCAACAACTAAAACAGCAGTCTGTTATCAACATTATTCTCATACTAAATCCAAAACACAGCACTATACCAGCTACTAGGAAGAAAATTAACTCTATCCCAGCCAAAACCAGGGCACTCCTCCATTGGTCCATGAAGGTCACAGTAATGTCTTTAAGGCCCTTCCCACCAGCTTTTAGTAACCCATACCAGGCGTCATTATTTTTTAGTTTATGTAGTGCCTGTTAGATCTCATTCAAAGAAGTTTTGTTTGCCAGTCAGTTTCTTCGTGGTTATTTATATGTGTTTGTCTAAATGGGAAGGAATATTTTTTACACGAAGTTAATTTAGGAAAAGTGCAAACTAGTGGGTATAAGTGTGTGTATTGGGGTGTGACCACTGGAGAACTGTACAATAACAAGTACAGATCTCTTCCAGGATCTCTGAAACCAGCATGATCTATTTGATATCTGCTGTTGGGAGCCACTGATTTGGAAAAGAGCACAGGCCTTGCAACTGCAGTTAAGAAAACAGTTCTTGCATCAGTTCTTAGGTTAAATTGCATGTATCATACCTTGTTTTTGTGGTTAACTATTGAAAAATGCAGCTTTCAACAGCAATGAGAAAGCAGAAAGCCTATTGATATAGCTGTTTTTTCCTGCTGCATCTCATTAAATTAATTACATTAATATGTGGCAACTTATCTCCCCATGGGCTTAGAGATATGTCTGTATTACCCAGTGACTGGTGCCTGCCCACTGCCAGCTGGGAAAAAAAAGAAGAATAAACAGAACCTGAAGCAAGTACAAAGGATACTGGAACCGGTATCTCATTACTGGAATAACGCACTGAAAATTGTACTCGTCTAAAGTCCAAGGTCTGCTCTTTTCACTCCAAAGCGAGTGCAATGAAAAGCCTTTCCAGTGAGTCGAAAACAGAAAAAAGGTTACAATTAATATCTTTCAAGCCATCAGCACTAGAAATGAGTATTTCATTATGAGTGGGACCTGATTCCAACACAGATCACCTCACAGATGCCTCCTTTCCAAATCATAATCACATGATGCATCTTTTCTTCTTTGAGAGGTCACGTTCTGCAGTAGTTGCAAGAGGTGCATGTGCAAAAAGTACTATTAGGCAAATGCACAGGGGATTTTCAAAGTCATTAAGTGCAGTTTAGAGTTCAACTGCCCTTGAAAGTCAATAAGTTTGGGGCATTTTCTCTCTCTTCTGCCTTTGAAAACCTCCCTCTTCAGTATTTGCTTTTTCTTCCAGTGGCTGCAAAAAAAAAATCCAGGGCGACATGACCAGTAACTTAGCCACAGACCACGAGCAGCAGTTCCTAAAGACTGATTGTAACCACAGGCCACTAACTGGGAACCTCTGTTTTATCACTGTGCCATGGAAAAAATGGAATACAATTTAGAGCAGGTCAGAACAGAAGCAGTTTGTTTACTGTACCTGTAGGAGAAAACACAGAGCAGCTGGGAACTGACTTTGCTGATATGAACTCCATCCCTGTAAAGTGGAGGCAAGATTTATACAGACTTAGAGATGCTATGCAAAAGACAGATAACAAGATGTGAGTTATACAGATCTGTTACATACGCAAAACCACAGAACTGCTCAAGGTAGGTCTGGAGTCTGTCTTCTTTAGCGCAAGGACTAATTTATCATAAAGGTTATGCAGTGATTATCGTTTCAGGAGATAGGGTAAGAATTTGACAAAGAGGACGACTTGGGTCTTAGCATTTCTACTTCCACAATGGGAAGCTGAAAACTGCATGGTAGTATTGGATTTTCTGACATCTGATCACTTGCAGCAGAGGCAGTTTTAGCTTTCTCTTGATGGACAAACTGTCTTCTCCCAGCCTGAGCCTTGTTGTTGACCAGAAAGGAAAGAATTTGACTTCTGGAGCACTTCTCAATAAATCATAATTCTCTAAATGGTGTGAGACTGCCCTTGTTTTCACTCATTCTTTATGGCTGTTTATGTCTCTCCATTTATGCTTTTCTGTTGAAAACTCATTTGGGAGTCATTAGTAGTGTGGTGTCCCTCCTTCCCACAGCAAGTGACCTAAAACTCAGATGAAGAGTCATTTTCCTTCTATTCTCTCTCCAGCCATAAGTTACGTATTCTCTGCACTGCAGAACAGCCTTGGGAGGCCGGGCTGAGCACATCCTCGCCAGCCCTCCAGATGCATTCCCAAAACACCTACAGATCGATTGTTAGGGCTCTCTCCGAACAGTGGGCGATGAGCGTTTGAATCCTCTGAGATTAGGTATGCAGCTGGGTTTCCCATGTGCTAGGTGAGTGCTCCAACAGCTGTTGTTAAAGGGCAGTGTCTTCCATCCTTTTGGCTTAAAAAAAAAAATCAGCAGGGCATTTTATGCCTGACCTTACTGAGTGGCTGTGCCTTGTGAGAGTGCCAATTAACCTTTTGAGGAAAGACAGTGAGAAGGAATGCCAGTTTCTGGTTCCTGGTCAGGCTTAGACATGAAATAAGACTGAGCATCTCTGCTTTATAGCTCTCCTGTGACTCAATAGATCCTTTCCTATGTAGATCACCAAAAACTGTAAGTCATCATTGTGTAGTAGCTGTTTTTGTAGCCTCTGATCAGGGTTTCTCAGCAGGAAAGGTGTTCCTGTTACAGATCGTCTGTGGTTGACACCACTGTGAATGTTGCCAACCCCTGACAGTTCAAGGAGTGGGTGAGCCATTATTTCGAGGTCCTGTCTGTCTCCTAGAAATCCAGAACAAAACTGTTCCAGATAAAGCTCATTCCTGTCAAAGCTTTTAGTTGCCCCAAGGATGAACAGCAGGTTTCAGTCTTCTGGGTTCACTGTCTGGAATTAAAATAATTAAACAAATCACAGTATATCTGAAGTGTAAGTATGCTGTTGAGTCGTTTTACTCAAAGCACACCCGTTTCCAAAACTGGGAGCAGTCTGGTTAGCATAACTATCGGACTTTGACTTCCCAGGCTAAATACCATTTACTCTCGGGCCAGCAGCATTTGCTTTTCATACCACTCTGACCTGGCTTGAACTGGCGCATCTGGGTCTGTAGTGAAAAGCTGCTAATACCCTGCCAGCGAGTCCTCTCTGGAGTGTCTTGTTTTCACTGAGTACTCTTTCAGCAACTTGTCAGCACAACCTACCATATAGGCATCTGGGAAATTCACACTGCGCTGTCACTGCAGTGTCTGATCAGAAAGCTGTGTGCCAGCAAAGTCAATGGCCTTCTGTGCTGCTCACAGGATGGAGCTAAGGTTATCAAGACTTCCTGAAAAACCCATGCTTTGAACACGTTTAGGGCAGATCTATGTGAAATGATGCAGTATCTCACAGGGATACACCCGACCATCCCATGGGAATGTAGTATCTTTTAGCTTGGTGCTCTGCCTCCACAAGGAGCAGCTTTTTGGAGCGTGTATGTGCACCAGATTGTTTTGATGTGAGTCTTTTGTGGAAGCCCCTAGTTCAAAAAGGAAGGGTCTGATTTAGATATGTGATCTTGTTGGGTATCTTTATTTCCCTCTGTTCAGTGTGGATGCGTTGTCCTGACTACTGTACTTAGTGTGGGGCATTTGACCTTTAGTGGGATTGACAATTTTTCTTAAATCCTAAAATTGACACTGAATGCCATTTATAAGTGGTACAGGAAGGGGAAGTGAAAGTCCTTTTGTGGGGTGAGAAATGAGAAAGAAATGAGATGCATGTGCTGCAAAATTGATTCTAGATGATGCAAAATAGACGTGTTGCACTAACTAGATACTACAGTACATCTGTAACTGTGAGTCTGCCTTTAACAGGAAAACTAGAAGGCGTATTATCTTATGCAGAGAGAATAATCATGAAAGCCCTTAAATTTCCGCTCTGTAAAGCCTTCCCATCATCTTAGTGTCTGAGAGTGGTTGCAGCTTGCGTATTTTTGCTTATTATTTATGCCTTGCATGATCACTTCGAGTACCTTCAGGCACAAGTTAGCTCCTGTCTCAGGTCAGCTTTCGGCAAAGGGAAATGAGGCAGATATCTGGGATAGCAAAGTCCCACCTTGGAATAGGAGAGAGAGGGAAATAGACTGAGACCCTGCAGTCATCGGAGCAGTGGCCGTGGCTCCATGCCCAGCCTAGTGGCGCAGGGCAGCTCCCTGAGACGTGATCCTCCACTCGTAGCTCAGGGCAGTGAGTCTGCGTGATCTTGCCTGCCCTCATAAACAGATGGCCCTGGCCTTATGCCAGTATGTACGACGAGGCTCTGCCCTTGCCCTCGTCACACTCCCTGCGGCTGTCTAGGCCTTGGGGGAGAAGTCGTCCATGTGCCAGGCATCTGTGGGGGAGACACCTAAAGCTAAGCTACTTTCTTGTACCGCCACCTGAAGGCATCAGTACTAAGTTATCTATCTCGGCAAGGCCAAGCACAGGCTGTTGGCTCTGGTGGGAGCAGGAACAGAGCAGGAACACTGTGGTTTCCTACTGCGGGGGCTGGAGCACTCCCTCTCGTAGTGCTGAGCCATGCAGAGGAGGTGGTGTCTTAGGGGGGCAGCCCCGATCCCTTCAGACACCAGCATGTTACTGGCCCGAAAGGGCAAAATCACTTTGCCCTCATCTTCAGGGAGTCGATACCCATTTTTACCAGCACTGCAGAGAAACCATGCACAGTGCTCTACCCCTTCTATCCCTGACAAAGCAGGACAGCAGATGTGGCACACTTAGAAGGCAGCAGTGCTGCTTGGACCAGGCAGGAGGAGGAGGGGAAAAATGAGTTGCAGAGGGAGGCCCCTTCAGAGAACACAGACCATAAGTGAAGAGGGGCTATGTCAGGATTAGAGGCTGACAAATGCTAAAGGAGCAGAGTCTGAAGTCAATAGAGTGGTGAGGTTTAGGTACTCGGAGCGTTAAGCATGGCTTCGTGTCAGTATGTCTCATTACCAAAGAGGAAAGTATTAGAATTAAATCAGCCATGAATTCCCTATATATATACACATACATATGTGTGTGTGTATATACGTATATAGATACTATATATATACACCTTTATCTTGGGGAAGTAAACTGTTGGTGTCTTTTCTCTTGCAGCTGCTACTCTGAAAGATGGACAGACCTTGTCTTTTCTCTCACACCTCTCACTTGTATCCATGCAAAATGCAGACTATGCTGTCATCCCTTCTGTATCACTCTCCACTGCAGCTTTTTCTCCACTGAGATCCTGCAAAAGTGAGCAACTTATGCTTTATTGTCTCTCTCCATTTCTTTCCTCAGGAAAGAAGAGCCCAGACCTTGGGGAATACGATCCTCTCACTCAGGCTGACAGTGATGAAAGTGAAGATGACCTGGTACTCAACATCCAGAAGAACGGGGGGGTCAAGAACGGGAAGAGCCCCCCTGAGGAGGTGCAGGACCCTGACTCTGATGTGGAGGTTGGGATGACAAAGCAGCACACATCAGAGAGCGTGCCCGAGGGTTATCCTGCAGAGACAGCTGGAAGTTTGGAGCAGAAGGCTGCTCCCTCCCTCATGCCATACCTGCGCACAGCGATCTTTCTGCTCACTGTGGTGATCTCGATGATTCTTGTGTTGGTGTGCGCATTTCTAATTCCCTGTCCCCCTAGAGACTTGCATAACACCTGGAACCGCAACCTAGGTCAGGGAGCAGGTGAGAAAGCCCCAGGAACAGCATCTGGCGTGGGGGAGGTGGCAGCTCCCAGGCTGGGCATCGGCGGGAGAGACCTATCTGGGAGAGCCAGGTCGGAGCAGAGGCCCTTCCTCACCACTGCAGATGCTCCGAGGTAATAGACAGGCAGCTGTGTCCTGCTCACTCTTCAAGCTGAGGCCTGTGAAATCTGGCATCGGTAGATAACAGTGCCACAAAATCTGGTTTCTGTCAACACCGAAAAACATTTTGACTCTTCTCCCATCCTGCCTTTTTGTCCAGATGGTACACTCTATTCCAGATGGATATGGCCCAGCCCACTTTAAAACACAGTGCCTCCCTCTCTGCATCCTGGGTTTCACCAGCACCTCCACGCTGAATTGTGTGGGTGTGTTCAGGAGGAGAGGGATAGAAGTCTTTGTGTCTTCTAACTGGCTTAACTAACCTTATTTCTTTTGTCTTCTTGTCCTGCTTGAATCTGTAAATCAACATTCAGGATCTTTTGTCATCCTATATGGGCCACTGGTAACATTTCTAAAGTATCTCCCATGCTGACTTCTGCAGTAAAGTAACAGTGGTTTGTGAAATAATTTCTGACAGGTCTAGATATGTCTCTCCCTCCTTGCTTTCTGCCCCTGGCTTCCAAATCTAAGCCTTTCATAAGATATGTGGCTCCCACATCACCTCAGAAAGTGAAGTGGGAAGCAGCAGAAATCTTTTTCTGTTAACTCCTCCATTTTTCCCTTTCCCTTTCCTTTCTGACCCAGATGCTGCATTTCTGCCTTTCCATGCAATGAAGGATCTTGCCGTGGTGTGAGCTGCCTGGCATTGGTGGTTCCCTAGCAGACTGTGTGAGGCTTGGGTGTCCATGAGTCTCTTTTCTGGGCCAGCCTTCCTCTCCCAGTGTGGAAAATGAGCTGGGTGGCCTTTTTGACAACAGTGCGGTGATTCTCTGTGACTGTTGCAGGTGGTGTGTTATCCCCACTGGAGCTGTGTGATGTGAATGGCGATGGGCTCCCTGACATCCTCATTGTCTTCACTGCCTTGATGAATGCTAGTGTCATGGGTAAGCACCGCAGCTCCTTTCCATTCCTCTTTCTGTACGTGTCAGTACGGACCTTTGTATGTTTGTCTTACACAGGAAGAGTTCCTGCCACTGCAAATCCACTGCATTGCTCTTTTCGGAGTTCCTTAAAATGGCTGGTGTACTGTGTCTGTGCTTTGTCATACTGCTCATAATTTTCATGGCAAGCCCATGCTCCCATACCTGTTGGGTCAACGTCATCTATTTCCCCTTATCTCATCTTGGGGCAAGTCCATCTCTTTGTCCTGTATTTGTGCACACTTGGTTTGGGGGCAGAGGTAAACCGATCAGGAAGCACTGCTTTACAAATAGCAACTGGAAATAAGGTGTACTTTTTTCCCCCCCTTGTTATCTCTCAGACGCCTTCACAAAACAGCTCAGTCTAACCACCTCCGTTTTACAGGCACAGAGGTAGAAGCACAGAGAAGGGAAGCAGCTTCACAAAGATCACAAATGAGATTCAGTGGTAGAGTCTCAACTCTCCTGATCTGTCGTCCAGCGTCCTGGTCATCACCAAGGGTAGTTGGTGACAGGAACAGTGATGGCAGAGCTGACTGTTGGAGTGCTCTGGTTCTTCTGAACTAGCCAGTTGCTTGCCAACAGGGAACATTATGGGTTTTTCTAGAGCAGCTGTAGGTTGGTGTTGCAGGAAACACCCTCACCTTGCTGCCTTTTTCTCCACATCACTCCATATATTTGCTTGGCTCCAAATTGTTGTTAATTCACAGATAATAGACTGGCTGATGGTGGGGAAGCTACTGTGCCTGGCTGTTTAGCAGGTATTGCCCTGCTAACCCTCACACCCCTCAGGTAACACAGCCGCAGCCTGCTGATACTGGCCAGTGTTATACAGGGGCTGCCAAGTCCAGTGGCATCCTATTGCCCTGGGCTTCTGAAGTCCTGGAGGTTCCCAGCTGCCTGCTGTACTGCATCTGCCCAGCCTGTCTGCCCAGTGAAGAGAACTTGGGCTGGGGCAGCCCCTTTAGCATAAGCCAGATGATTTTCAGTTTGAGAAGAAAGTGAGTTTGATTTAGAGAGTGGGCTCAGACTTGCTTTTAGCCAGTGGCCCAGATATGCCCTTTGTGTAGTCAGGTCACATGTTATTTTGCTAGTAAGACAGGAGTCAACTGAGACTGTTGTTATTTTGAAATGTGTGGGAGTTCATCTTAAATTGTGATGTGAGCATACCGGGTGGAGAGTACAGTAGCCACAATTATGTCTGAAGGCAGGCTGAGCTCAGAGTTGCTCCCATTTGGAATCAGAGCCAACAGTCAACTGAAACAGCATAGAGCACTTTTTTTTAACAAGTATTTTGTGCTAACTCATGAATTAGGAAAAGAGCCCTGAGTTACACCAATTGTTTGCATTAAGTCCATTTTTCACAATAATAAAGCACATTTGGAGAACAAAGGAGAAAGCTCTTAGATTGCCAATCACCTTCTGCTGCTCCAGATTTACAAACAACCCAGGACTTTCACATGAGGTGGCATCTGCCTTGGGAGTCACTTAAGGTTTCCCCTTGGTGCTAGCCATTGTCTTGAGGGAGGATCAGTCTGGTTTGGCAGCAAGTACATTTCACACCAGGAAGTCAGCACGACTGAGCAGGTTGTCCCCAGGATCTTGGCTCCTCTGTGCCCAGCTGACCACATTTCTTGCTGTGAGCTCGGGTCCAACCTCCATGATTATCTGCACTGTTGGCTGACAGCCCAACTTGTCTGTAGATCACTGCTAGGCTCTGCAGGCAGAGAGACTCAGCCATGGGGTGGGATTTGACCTTTGCTTTCAGGCAGTGTGGATGTGACTGGCTTGAGCCACTCAGCTCTGGGAGGTAGAGCTGGAACTCAAGCACAAAGACCAAAGGCAGCATGGACATAGCCTCTGATGCCAAGGGATTTCACTGTCTCCTTCCTGCCTCTTCCAGGCGTCTCTAGGCCTTCTGTAACTGTGGTGGCCCTTTCTGGTATGAATGGCAGCACCTTGTGGTCCATCCAGCTTCCAGAGGAGACTCGGAGTTTGCAGTGCAAAGGGCTGTCACTGGGGGCACCTACAGATCCCGTCTGCCTTGTCACAGGAACATCAAAATTCCTCAGCCTTCTCAGTGCCTCCACAGGTAGAGTCAACTACGAGCATATTAGAAATATGCTACTGCTTTTTTGTTTTCTTTAAAGGGCTAATAGGCATGAATGATTCAGTGCTAGGACTTCATGGTGGCTGTTATCTATTGACACGCAGGAAGGAGTCAAAACACTAATGAATTTCTAGTAACACAGGATAAGAGAATCCAAACCATTGCTGCTCTGTGGCAGCATCTTCATCCTGCCAACTCAGAACATTTCGAAGTGTTAATCTTACCCTGTAGCATCCCCCTGGCATAAAGGATATGTAAGGTCTGTCCTCATCAACACTGAGCTGTTAGTACAACTCAGCACCTACCTAACAGCACTGAAAAGCTGAAAACCATTCTTGGAGAAGTTATATAAGGACATGTGCTACAGCCAGGAAACCTTCCAGAGAAATTAGGCCCATAGAAGAATTGATTAGATGTGAAGGAATATTGCATTTTTAGTCACTTGCTCATGCGCACCTCCATTCTCTGATTGCTGTTTGTTCTACCACATTAATTCATTGGCAGAAATATTCATAGGTAGGTATAGGGATGTTTTTGGAATCAGAACAGAGAATGCAGGCATATAAGAAACCGTGGGTTTAAGTAACAGATCCAGTCAATGAGCAGCGGCACTTAGGGACCTGATTACTTGCACAGTGTTTGCATGCTCAGGACCGTAGGCTGTCTCCTTTACCAGCAGTAGTAGTGTTAATGTGCACAAGTGTTTTGAGGTCTGGCCTTTGGTTTCCTTTGTCATGCAGGGGCAAACCCTATCCTACACAGCAGCAGCAGCAGCAGCAGAAAAGCATTTTTAAACTCTGATTTAAAAAGCAGAAGTGTTGGCAAAGGAATAATGGAAAAGTAAAAGCATTGAATTTCATTTTGCCTTTTTTGGGTGTTTATTTGCCAATTTGCAAATCAGGTTTTACTGAGTTTCCAGCTGGGTCCATGCTGGACTGCCGAACCATTTGACATCACGTCTGCTAACATGTTTTTACCCTGAGGTGGGGTGAGCATGCCATGTTGGAGTGGCTATTTGCTGCTGGGAATTTAACTGAGACGCAGATTTACACTTTGAATATTAGAACTGCCCATCTGTTCCCTTTCCTGGCATCTACCTACAGGCTTCACTGCTGGCTGAGGAAAACAACTGCTGTCCTGCAGAGCAGCACTCTCATTTAGGTTCGCCTTCCAAGAGTGAACCTCAAATATTCTCTGCTATTTCAGGAATTGTTTTGGGCTCAGGTCTTTCTAGAGAGATGCTAAGAAGGAAGCACAGCAGGATTTGAGGCATGACTCAAAGACAATCTGAAGAAATGCTGGGGGAAGAACTTTGCTTCCCACTGCAGCTTGTCCCAGTTTGTAGGCTTGTCTTTCCTCTTCTCAGAGAATGGGGAAAACAACCTGTCTTGCTCCCTCCTTCAGAAAGGTTTTGTGGAACCCTCTGGGGATGCCTGCTGGTTCCCCAAGTGCTGCAGATCTCTCTCATCCTGTTCTTCCTGCAGGCAAGACCATCTGGACGCTGAACTCCATCCACCTTTCAAGTGGGATCCTGGCTGCACCAGCTGCAACTCTTCCAGATGTAGATGGAGATGGGATTAGGGATATTGTTGTTCTGGCTCTCAAAGAGACACAGGTACAGCATATCCCTGCTCAAGGTTTGAAAGGACCTTGACTATCTAGAGGAAGAACAGGAAGCCTGGTGTGGAAAGGCTGTAACAGCAGCTGCAGGAGCCCCTAATTTTCATTCTCTTAGATTTCCCTAAAAAACACCCTTTTTCTTTCAATAGGTCAGAGCAGTGAGATCAAGCAATAATGACACTACCCGCATTTCTTGTCAGCTGGGAATGAACAGAAGGGTCATTATTTACCCCTGGCTGAGACTTGAGAATTATCTGTTTCTGCTCAGTGAAGGCTTGGTTTGAAGCGAGTGTTTAGAAGCAGTGTAGGGAGCCATGTTGAGATAGATCTCTGGAGAAAGGAGCATTCAGCTTATCCAAAAGAAAGAAGTACTTGTGTGATTAATTCAGATGCAGATTTCCTCTATGCTCATCCCTCCCCACAATTCTAGCATTAATGTTGTTAGAGGAGTTCAGGTTTTTGAAGTCCCTTCCATCTTTGATGCATTTGCAGTCAAGAGAAAAGCATGAATGTAAGACACCCAGGAAGCTAGACAGAGCAAGGAGAAAGAAACTACTAGCTAGACGTTGCTGTGGGGGGAAAGAGCAATGGAGCTTCATGCTGTGGGGACCAGGGAAGATTCTGAGAGTACAAGTGCATGAAAGCACTGCTAAAAATCTCTACATCTCTCTCTTTGCAGCCTGATATGTTTTTCGTCTTGGTGTCAGGAAAGACTGGGACTGCTTTGGGTGGGCCTGTGAAGTACAGCGCCAATGGAGAAGGGAAAGTGATTGGCCCCCAGGTCCACATCACCAGCCGGGGAGCCATCTACATCCTGTTTGGGTTTGGTAAGATGCACCTTGCTTCTCCAGCACTTCACCTTAACTGAGAAAACATTCATTTTACGTAAAATGTCCCAGAGCGTCCCTGGGATATTTCTACCGTGCCTTCTGCTGTCAAAGCTAGGAGTAGAGGGCATGGAAACAAGTCTCACTGCCATGGTATGGAAAAGTGCAGGAGCACCAATACCTGCTAGCCTGGAATACCTTGGAATTTCCCAAAGGCACATCATGCCAGGGAAGTTCCAGCTCTGGGCATTTCTTTGCCTTCTACCACAACTGCAGTGGTCCCAAGGACCCTTCATGCTACGAGGGGGTTAACTTTTGCAGGCAGGACTCTTCATCTTTACTCTCCTGGCAGGTAATGTTCAAGCAGTTGCCCTGAGGGATATCTTTACCCAAGCCAGAAACCGGGACAGCTTTCCTGCAATGCTGCAGCAGGAGGAGCTGGAGTGGGAAAAGCGCAGATCTGTCAACCTGTCAGAGCTCATTGACATTTACAGGTAGGAGATGGACTTGTCCTCTTGCTTCTGCTGGGAGAGGAAGGGGAGGGTAGGCACCTCTTAGTGCTCCTGGAGATGGTCCCTTCTACTTCAATACTGTCCTTCTTTTCATTGTCCAGTTGATAACAATACTCTGGGGAACGTATTGTTTCCTCCCTGTCCCGTGGTTGTCCTAGCAAAAGAAATACAGAGTATGATAAAAGGGAGTCCTTTGCTTCTCCTGCTCCTTGTTCCTTTCTTCACCCTCTATGCATACCTGGAGGAAAAAACAAAAGGTGTTCCCAGCTAATGGAGTCCCTTTGAGAAGCTCCATCTGTGTACGGCATTGTGGACCTGGATTTCTCAGCTCCTTCTTCTTTACTGCCAAATTGTGGTCAAGGTCAGCCTGGATAGGAGTAAAGGGAGGGAACAAATGTGAACCCCCAGACTCCATGCTTTTCATAGTAACTCAAGATGTTCAGAAGACCCCTCACCTGAATTTAGCCCACTTAACTGAGGAACCCCCAAAGGAAGCTAAGCTCCATTGCTGGGGAAAAGATGGGCTTCTTCAAGAACAGTTCAAATTTTAGGTAGGATGAGTTGCCACGTGGACAGGCAGCTAGTGCTGAGATGTGCAGATACAAGCCTCAGAATCTCCTCTGCTTTCCATTTGTCCCAGTGGGGGTGTTGATTTCCTGCAGACGATGAAGACACCTGACACAAACTGCAGCAACCTGCTCATCACAACCAAAGAGGGCTTGATCCTACTGCGGGGACAGGACCTGGAGCCCCGCTGGACCCTGGAACTGCAGAACATCAGCAGGTTACATACTGGGAACATTTTTCTGTCCTATTTCTTCCTGTACCATTTCCTGCCTTTCACTTGTAAGCACATGTCCTCCTTAGCAATTGAGAAGAATTCTTCAAGTCTGCAGAGAAATCTAAGAACTGGAGGTGTGCAGATGCATTGCTGAGCAAGTGAGGAGGGCAGGGGGGAGCAAGGAACAGAAGGCTGGAAACCTGAGCTGTGTGCTTGTGAGTGATCACAAATAAGGGGCTTTATTCAGGTACCCAACACTGATGTCATGGGAATGTCGTGGCATTGGAATTCAGGGGATTACTGGTGTGTTATTCAGCCCATCTGCTGTCCAGGGCTGCCACTTGCCAGTTCAGTGGAGAGGAGCAGTTGCATTAGTGATATTAAGTATTTAGAGAAGGTTGCTGAGCATGGCCCACAGATCTTCACGTTCCTTGAAAGCTGAAAATGAGCATTCTGATGGCAGTCAGCACACCATCTATACTAAATGTAAACCTTAAAGTAATACTGGTCATCCTCTAATTTCACACATGGAAATTAAATAATTTGCCAGATTTCGTGGGTTGATAATAACCAGCAATTTCAGCTTGCCCAGTATCAAATATTTGCAAAGGGCAGTTGGGCACAGTTGAGGGAAATGATGTGGGAAACAAATTGCTTGCTCTGCTATCTAGAGGAAAGAAAGCAGCTCTCAGCTCAGTGTTACCTGACTGTCAAGAGCATCTATAGGAAGAAGGCATTGGAACTTCATTAAGCAAAAAAAATTGGTGTTCAACTAGGTTTGATATTCTGATAATGTCCACATTCTTGAAGGCTGATGGGTGATGTAAGCAATGGCTTTAGGAATGGCTTATGGCTAGTTGATCATGCTGTAGTTTTTTTGAGATGGACTAAAAGTGGTTTGGGCCTAGAGCCTGCACACTTCTGGATGTGTCTGGGGTCTAGTTTAAAGGGTAAGTGTGTACTGACTAAGCAAAGCTAGTTCATAGATGCTGTAAAATGAGTTATACACAAGATATTTCTAAACAGATCCACTAATGAACTGGAAAATTTCTATGGGTTCAAATCAAGAAGGGTTGAAAACTGCTTTACCTGTTCTATTCACAGAATCACAATATGGTTGAGGTTGGATGGCACCTCTGGAGATTGCCTAGTCCAACCTACCTGCTCAAGCAGGCTCAGCTAGAGCAAGTTGCTCAGGGCGTGTGTGCTGTCAGGTTTTAAATATCTCCAAGGATGGAGACTCCACAACCTCTCTGGGCAACTAGTATTCCAGGTTGGTGTATTCCAGCCCTGTTTTTTCTGGTTCCATGACCTCCCAAGGGACACAGTACAACACATGTACAGAAGCTGCCAGATAGGCATTGAAAAATTAATGAAAGCAATTCTTGTTCAAGGCCACTGTGCTAAAGTCCGGGGCTGCCTGTTTTCTCGGAGTTAAGAGAGACAAAATCTGGTAGACTGAATATATTGTGCACAAGCATTCATTTAAGAGGGTATTTTTTTAGAATGTAGAGTTCTGCTTAAGCAACACAGGCTGGGGGACAAATTCAGCTCAGGGGTGTCACCACAGAGTCAAACAGACCAAAACCCAGTTCCTCATCAGACAAAGCTTACAGAGCCAGCTGAGTGCTCCGTTTTTCCTGGGTAAACCTGCCCCAAGCACACCACTCCAGCCAGGCAGACTGTCCAGCCCTTTGGGAACAGTCTCTGAGAAAAACAGCCTGGTTGCTGCAGATGTGCTGCATTTCCAGATAGCTTTTAACAAGATCCCTGGAAAACCATAAAGGAGAATCAGTAGTCATAAAACAAGGGTGAAGTTCAGAGACCATGAAATTGAGTAAGCAGTTAAAAATTGTGTTGTAAATGGATGTTTCAGATGAGAGAGGATTAATAGCAGGTTGCTACGGGGATTACTGTTGGGGAGGAATAATTACTAGCCTTCTGGTTCATTTAAGAAAGTGCCCAGGGGATTTTTCAGTTGATTCGTAGCATCTAAAATACCTGTGTCTGTCTGCATTCAGTTTGTGGGATCTGCCACCGACTGTAACCCATAAGGGATGTGAGAAGAGCCACCTTAGGAGAGCTTTTAAATTTGTGCCCATAGGATAGAACTGCCTTCTACTTCCTTTTGCTACTGGAGAGCTTTCAAGCTATAGGAGTGTCCCATGATACTGCCTTGAAAGTGTTGGTTCTGGTTGCCAAAGCTGTCTGAAGCAAATGACATTTTTTGATGTAGTAAGTATAAATAGTCAAGCCACTGCTGTACTGTGGCATTGCTGGTGAAGAGCCATTCTGGCATGCACATTTTGAAGGGGAAGCTGGAAAAAAATCGAGAAAAGGGCTGGAGAAAATTCTTTAGCGTGGAAGATTTAAGTCAGGGTGTTTATATGATCAAAGAGAAGCCAGAGAGTTGAGTTCAGAAGCGTGTGTAAGTAATATGAGCTAACAGGCATTTTAGTCTTGCTATAGCAAGAACAAGTGCCTTGGAGCGAAAGCCATTCATGTTCAAGAAAATGAAAATGCAGGCATGTTTCTTTGGGTGAGATTAATCATTAGAACTGACTGTCATGAGAAGTGATGAATTCATCTCATCTTTGTATTTCTGTAGCAAGCCTCATGGCTGGTAGATCTAGTCAAAGTCAGTCTACTGATACTTGGTTAATTGGGTGAAATACAGCAATCTGTCATAAACAAGAGGGGGAGGACGTATTCTGATGATCCTACCTTGCCATAAAATCTCTGATTCTGTGAATTTTGAGGAATCGTCAGTGCTTATTTAGAACCTTGTGTCTAGCTGTGGTGAATTTAAGGAAGACAGAGATAAGACTCAGAAAGCCAAAGGCAAGCAAGATGGTTAGAAAACAGTTATAATGAGGGATATTCAAGTAATAGTGTTATGTCACCCAGAAGGGAGAGGATAAGAGGGGACTTCATTTAAACTGCTGAAAGTTATAAAAAGGCTTGTAAAACTGCCAGAACTAAGAAAACAAATAATCATGGGCTGACATTAATGGTGAGTATATTAAGAGCCATTTCACACAGCTAAGGCTGGGAAATACA